CCCATCCCCCCCAAATTTTAGCATGAAAAATATTTCTCCCATGCAGCTATCTAAATACATGAGATATGCATACTATGTTATTTCCTTGCCATAAATATTTATTTATTAATTATATCAATAAATTTGAGTCGAGGTATTTCAAATAATATACATCATGGACATGAAGACGTCATATTTGTATACTTTAAATCATAATCTTTGAATGTTCCTCTCCTTTCTCTTTCCAGTGGGAGAAAAAAATTATTTTTTATATTACGTTTTCCAGTTATTTTTGTGTTCCCGTTTTCAATATAGTTCCTTTTATCTTATATGCCACTCCTTAAAAATATAGAGTTACAGTGTACTTTTGGTGACTGCGTTCATATTAATTTATTTAATGTATTATGTTTATATTATAATTTTACATTACAAAAAAACATACTATTGATATGCGGGTAATCTTAGAAATATTTTCTATGTTTAAATAAAGTATAAATGACAACACACCCAACTTAATCTTATATGTAGGGTATGAGGAGGATAGTGTGTACACAACCTTACACATACCCAATAAAGGTAGAGAGGCTATTTCCGATAGACCCTCACCTTGTTTAAATAAAGTATAAGCAAATTAATAATGTGGATTTTTTTTATAGACAATTGCAAATTAAAAGAATGTCAGTTATGATTTTTGTTTACGATATCTCATGTATGATTATTAGTTTAAAATGGTATATTTACAAATTTTATACAACTTATTCAAATCATTGCATTCCCTAACAAAAAATTGGTTAGACATTTTAACTCATATCAATAAAAAAATCATATAAAAATATTTTTAGAAAATAAACATGCAAAGTATTTTTGTAAATTATTTCTCAAAAAATGTTTTGAAAAAATATAAAAAATTAAAATATTCTTTTAATTAAATCAGACTTACTTTTAAAAAGTTCCAATTTAAATGAGAATTGATTATACAGACACAACAAAACTAAAAACTAAATTCATGAGATTTGATTGAAAGAATAAATTGTATTTCTGATTTTAACATGAATTTTATATTTTTACTCTTTCTAGGATAGTATTAACATAGTTCTTTCAAAACCCGTCAATTACAAGTAATTCAATTTTAACTATTGACTCTTACTCCGTGAAAAGACAACATTTGGATGCATCCAAATAAACACGGTTACATAATTGGACAGAGAAAAGAAAGCTTTCTCCAAGACGAAGAAATAGTGATTTCTTCTTTTCTAATTTGTTAAAAATAATTTCTATATTATTTCTTAATGATTAAAGAAATTGAGCAATTTGCATTTTCGGTGCGAGAAAAATTAAAAAAAAAGTCTTTTGTCAGTTAGTTGATCCTCTTTGTATCTTCTAAAATGGATACAAATCCCTATCTATGATTAGTATTTATTGTTTTTTGGAGCATATAATTATCTCTTAATTTTTACTTCATAATATAAATACAACTTTGGATATTATTTATATTATTTTTAAACAATTATTATCAAATACTCTATACTATATTAAAAGTACGAAGTCCCTTAGCGAAATGTCCTTCGCCTTTTTTACCCTTTAAAAATACAGTTCGCACAGAGAAAAATAGTAATTTAATTATTATTTTTAATATTTAGGAACAATCATTTAATTAATTCTCTCATATTTAGGAGTTTCAAATTAACTAAAATTTTACATATTAATTCTTTTCTTATTTGAACTATATTGAAATTCCTTATATTTAGAACTTTAAAATCATTAAAATTTTACATTATAAAAGTCTTGCATTTAAACAAAATAAATAAAGGGAATAATTAAAAAGATCAAAGAAAGGTGAAGTATGAGGTTTTGAATAATAACAGAGGTGGTCAAAGTCTTTTATAAACTTTTGTAAGTTCTGATTTATATGAAACAAATTATTAGTTATTCCAAAAAGATAATTTATAAGATATTTTAATGTTTTTCAATAACATTTTTAAAATTTAGCTGAATATAATTCGGCTTCTTGACTACAGTTATGGCTTTTGCATTTGATTTAGAATTTATTTATTGTATATAGTGATTCTTAATTATTTGAGATTTAAAAAGTATTTTTTTTTGTTTTTTGTTCTAGGAACATGTCATTCATGGATGATTTTACCTAATCGATTTTTTACTATTTGATTTTTTTATTGAATAAGAATATAACTACAGTTAAATATTTAAAATTTGGTATTAGCTAATACTATTGAATTACTCATCTCACTTGAATAATAACACTTCAAAACTAAATACATACTTCCAATTCTTAATTCAGTCATTAAAATAAATTTTAAGTTGAATTATTGACTGATATAAGTATTTATATTGGACAATTTCTTTCATTATAGAGTCTATTAAACACAATCAATATTTAATTTTTAGGAACTTATACTTTTATTTTACAACTAAAAGATAAATTTTAAATAAATTTTTACTCATTGAAATAGGATACACGCGCAAAGGGCGTACCCTAAGACTAGTTATGTAATTAGAAGAAAGTCTCTTGATAAGAATTAATTGGTAATTCTCTAAAGATGGTAACTAACTTACTATCAAGTTAAAATTCATGGATAATGTTAAAAAAATATTTACCGTCAGTGTATATAACTTATGTTGGCCCAAAAAGAGAATAGTTTTGAAAATTGACAAAGGAACTCAGATATGAACCATGTCCATCACTGGCAGACATAGACACCGGCAGAGTCAAGGCACGTGAGGTGCACATGCAGGAGATAAGCGTATTCTGGTAGAATGAGATATCTCCTGATCGAAAAGATTGCAAAAACGATAAGGAGAAGGACTCCTTATTCAGTAAGAACAGTATCTAAGATAAGGAAGGATTTAGGAGTTGAGTTTAACTAGAACTCTTCCACCAAGAAAGAGTAGCATTAGGATTCTAGTTAATTCTGTATCTACTAACTCCTATATATTACAGAATGTTCTTATTGTACAGGTACGCACAAAAGCAGAAGTTAAGCAAGAATTGAGAGCAAAATAGCGAGACAATTTTGCAAGCAGTTCGATTGATATTTGAGTGTGTGAATCTGACGCTACTTGAACCAGTTCCAATTGTTGTCTTTTAGTCTAGTAATTTGTAGTAGGTGGTTTTAACTTGTACCTTTTTAACTTTATCTAGAAGCATCTGTAATAGGTACTTTGTGTTTTCAAGTTAGAGTTAACTTGAAATTTGTCACAAATAGCTAGAGGCTAGTTTGCTACAAAGGGTTAGAGGTAATCCTAAATTTACAAAAGAGTTTTTGTAAATGCTATTTTGGCTCACTGATTTAGTAAAGAGTTTTGGGAAAATCTTACTGGAAAGTAGGTCGTGGTTTTTTTTTACCTTTTGAGCCAGGTATTTTCCACGTAAAATTTTCCGTGTTCTTTATTTTCTGTACTTATTATTCTGCAACAGTAGTAGTTGGAACATATAGAAGAACCAGGTCCTTCTATAATCTGTGCACGCGAAAAATTGGACACCACACAAATCACCCCCTTTCTTGTATGGTATTGACGTATAAAACATCAATTGGTATTAGAGCAGATTATCCTTGAAGAGGCTAACACCTTAGGAGAAGATCAAGATGAGTGCACCACCTGGAAACTGGGAAGGGCAATCCACTGCTAGGCCACCACTCTTCAATGGCCAGTACTACTCCTGGTAGAAAAACAAAATGAGAGACCACACCATAGGAGAAGACTATGAGCTATGGGACATTGTCACAGATGTTCCATTGGCTACCATGAAGATAAATGCCGAAGGAGAAGAGGTGCCAAAAATAAGAGCTGACTGCACTGCTGACGACTTGAGAAAATGGGAGAAAAATACTAAAGCCAAGAAATGGCTTGTTTGTGGACTCGGTCCAGATGAGTACAACAGAATTCAAAGCTGTACTACTGCTAAAAAAAATTTGGGACACCTTGCAAGTGGCTCATGAAGAAACTGCTCAGGTGAAGAGGTCCAGAGGTACTTTACTATATTCTCAATATGAGAATTTCTCTATGAAGGAAGAAGAGACTATCCAAGAGATGTATACAAGGTTCACCACACTGACTAATGAACTGAAGTCTCTTGGAATGACTTTTTGAAGAAGACAAAGTTGAGAAGATTCTGACTAGGGTTCTACGAGTTTCTTGGGAAAGCAAAATCACTGCAATTTAGGAATCTAAGAACATTGCAACTCTTAAACTGGATGAGCTGATTGGAAATCTCACTGCGTATGAACTTAGCAGGCAGACCATGAAGATGGATGTGCCCAAGAAGGAAAGGAGCTTGGCACTCAGAATCATTGAAGGTGCTGATCTGGAGGAAGATGAAATGGCTATGATCACCAAGGACTTCAAGAAATACCTTATGAGAGGAAAAGGCTCTTCAAGAGGTGGAAATTACAACAAAGCAAGGGTTCCTGAAAAAACGACCAATG